TGCTGCTCTGGTTCGCCAGAAGCGGCTTAGTCATGCTGGCCACATGACCCGGAAGCTGTACACCGGCTCCCACGGCCAATAAAGCGAGATGAGCGCCACAACCCCAGAGTTGGTCATGACTGGATGCAATGGTTAGGGGTCCCTTTACCCTTTACCTTTTATACACACATACACTCCAGGTTTCCTAAAGTAACCAGCACATAACATATAACAAAGCACATAACTGTATAAAATTCACATGCATTAATATAAAAATTATGCTGCTGAAACGAGAGTACTGCAGAGGCATATATTTTGCATATATAAAAAAAATTCCTTCCAGTAGCACCGTAGAGACCAACTAAGTTTGTTACTGGTATGAGCTTTCGTGTGCATGCACACTTCTTCAGATACCATATAAGTATCCTTATGCACATATTATTTTGCTTCTAATTAGTCAGGCTTTCAAAAAATAAACTCTGACAATGTATGAATGGCTCAGACATAAGCGGATGCTCAAAAGAAGAGGCTGCCCAGTCTGGGCAAAGCAAAATCAGGTAGAAACTGCCTCTTACAGCTCTAGATGGAAATTAACATAGGAGGGAATAAGGGAAGGTGCCTGCCTAGTAATGAGGGAAGAGATGAACTGAGTATTAAAAAATAATGGTATCTTATCTAGGAACACAGGAAGCTGCCGAATATAAGGTCAGACTATTCACTCATCTACCCAAATATTGTCCTTTCTGACTTGCAGTAGCTCTCTAGGGTTCCACGTGAGGTTTTCTCTCTCTTCATATTACCTGTTACCTTATCCTTTAAAAAACACACAACTAAAACTGGAAATGCTAGCAATTGAACATGGGACATTCTGCATGCACAGCACATGCTTGGGGAACTGTAGCGTACTAGAATTTCAAAGCATAATAATAATAATAATAATAATAATAACAACAATAATAATAATAATAATTTATACCCCGCCCTCCCCAGCCAAGGCCGGGCTCAGGGCGGCTAACAAGCAATAATAAAAACAAGTTGAATGATTACAACTTAAAAACAAAATTAAAATACAACATAATAATAATAATAATAATAATAATAATAATAATAATAATTTATTTATACCCCGCCCATCCAGCTGAGTTTCCCCAGCCACCCTGGGCAGTTCCCAATCGAGTGTTAAAAACAATACAGCATTAAATATTAAAAATTTTCCTAAACAGGGCTGCCTTCAGTTGTCTTTTAAAAATAGGATAGCTGCTTATGTCCTTCACATCTGATGGGAGGGCGTTCCACAGGGCGGGCGCCACTAGCAAGAAGGCCCTCTGTCTGGTTCCCTGTAACCTCACTTCTCGCAATGAGGGAACTGCCAGAAGGCCCTTGGCTATGGATCTCAGTGTCCGGGCTGAACGATGGGGGTGGAGACGCTCCTTCAGGTATAATGGAATGAATAAGTTGCTCTTGAAGAAGAGTCTAATGGCCGACTCGTGGCAGCTGCCTCTGTTCACTTCGCTCACCAGCCCCTCAGCCAACCCCTCCTTCCTTTACACTGGTCCAAAGCCTGCTGCCTGTACACCTCACCCAACCCCTTACCTCACAATTCACCCCTACCCATTTTAAGGGAGGGGAAGGCACTTCAGAGAGCCGTTTCCTGTTAAACCTTCCTGCAGCCATGTTTAACATGGACTGGAGGGGCTTCACAGAGCAGTTGGCCCTTAATGCATTGTTCTCATTCATGTATTCAGCACCTTTGAAGTCTCCTTCTTTCGTCTGGAAGATTATTATAGAGGAAAAAGCACTACAGACAAAAGCTTTAAAGGCAGAGTTGCAAAATGATGCTACATTCTCTGCAAAGCAATAGACAGGTCACATCCGCACCATGAACTCCAAGCACATTCAAAGCCCTGGGAACTATGGTTTGTTAAGGGTGCTGGAAATTGTAGAGCTGTGAGGGGTAAACTACAGTTTCCAGGATTCTTTGGGAGAAGACATGCACTTTAAATGTGCTGTAAATTTATGGTGATACAGTGGTACCTCGGGTTAAGTACTTAATTCGTTCCGGAGGTCCGTACTTAACCTGAAACTGTTCTTAACCTGAAGCACCACTTTAGCTAATGGGGCCTCCTGCTGCTGCCGTGCCGCCAGAGCATGATTTCTGTTCTCATCCTGAAGCAAAGTTCTTAACCCGAAGAACTATTTCTGGGTTAATGGAGTCTGTAACCTGAAGCGTATGTAACCTGAAGCGTATGTAACCTGAAGCGTATGTAACCTGAAGCGTATGTAACCTGAGGTACCACTGTAATGTCGCCTAGTTTTATTTGACCCAGATTTAGTTGTGAGCCATTGGCCACATTGAACAACTTAAGGTCCATGATGATATATGCGCAACAGTGCCATTCACATCAAATGCCACACCGAGCCAGTTCTATGAGACACCAGTGAATAAGTTCATCACAATGTGGAGAGTATATGCAGATCCTGGCTCCACACATGGCTCCTCCTTGCTGGATTATGTCTAGGGATCTCACTTTTTCAGAAAAATATAAATGAAAGGGCAGAGGACACTCTGACAAGAGGTCACGCAACCATTTGACGTATTCGTTTGGACTGGGAATCTCTACTATGGTAGAATATTTATGATTAAACGTCCTGCCAAAGCTGCAGCCTTTATTTACAGCTATACCTTCAAGTAAACATGAATATATTATGTAGCTGGCAGAAACTAATTTTAAAACTTGTGTGGGCAGAAGAACATTCAAGAACGCTTGCTACAAAATTTTTCAATGCAGTAGCTATAGGGAGGTATGGATTTATCAAATTACGGCCTGCAGTTAAATGTCATGGATGGGGTGCCAAGTGTTCTGGGGAAGGAGAAGCGCTACTTTACCTTCCCCTTTCATTATATTTCTATTTTTGCTACATCTTCCTTCCTTGCTTGCTTCAGCTGAACATTCGAGCCTGTTTAGCCATTATTTTGGAGCATGCAGGAAGCTGATTGAGCTTAACCCCAGCCTCTACACCAGGCAACCCCAAACTCGGCCCTCCAGATGTTTTGGGACTACAACTCCCATTATCCTTAGCTAACAGGACCAGTGGTCAGGGATGATGGGAATTGTGGTCCCAAAACAGCTGGAGGGCCGAGTTTGGGGATGCCTGCTCTACACGTTCAAGGGCTAAATTTACAAGGAGTCGAAATGCATGTACCCAAACATACATAAGTTGTTGGATATGTAAGCCTAAAACTTTGCAATACCCAAGCTCGGGCTCCCCCCCCCATCTGCAGCTCAGTGGAGCTCAGCTCTGGCACCTCTCAGGTAGGCACCATTTCCATTCTAAGAGAAAAAGGGGAGTAGTTCATGGTGAGCTCCTGCACCTCTTTTTCAAGAAAAATAGCACTTACCAGGCTGAACACGCAAGCATTAAAAGTGTGGACAGGGGTGTGATAGGGGTGTATGCAAAGCCCTAACCCCAATGCATGGAGCTCCAGATAGAACCAGCAATTTGCTTTTGAGGAGTACGGTAATTATGTACGGCTCTGTCTAACATCTCTGTTCTTCGATCAATCAGTCAATCCATCAACTAAGGTGTGTCTGTGGTTGGGTGGGTGTATCTGCTTGTATTGAAAACACAACCACAACTCTTGTGAGCTGCCAAGAAAATCACAGTCAATGCTCCACCCATAGTTTGAGCAGGGATGGTTGTGCAGCCCCGACACTGTTCCAAAAATGCATCTCCAAATCTCACAGTGCGGTTCTCCAGCTGCAGAAACACATACACTAAAGTGTGAATAAAAGCGCGCATAAAATAGCATATAAAAAATGTAACGTGTAGAAATGTATTACATATGGGGAAATTGCTTTGCAAAACTGCATATTAGGCAAGTCTGACTAAAGAAATATGTACATTAGTAAAACTGCACTGAAATGCTGATGAATTTTTATGAAGCCTTTAAAAAATAAATAAATCACACACTAATGTGGAAATGTGGAGAAGTGAACTTAAGATTGGAAAAATGAGAAAAAGATAAAACCTAAAATTGACAGATTGGCCCATCTCTCATTGCATAACATAAAACTAAAATTTATTATCAGCCGGGCTGCCTGGGTCCTCCTCACACTTCACCCTCGACTTAACCACAAGTGAATACAAGTTCCGTTCATCCTTTAATTAATTTCACTGCGCTCCAGTGTCATCCTGCGTGTTGATATTAAGATGATACTTTAAAATTAATTGCTTTTTCAATAGCTAACTGATGGGGTAAGAACTGTGACAAGGAAGAGTGCCAGGAAGCAATACTAGAGGTTTGGTGATTTTGTTCTAAGGCTGAGCTGCATTACAGGTGCCAAATTTCCACCCAATATTATGCATATTGTATATGTGTACACCCATTCACAGTATACAAATTAAAGTGAGCATCATTATAACAAGAGCGGCCAACCAGATACCTATGGGAAGCCTGAAAACAGGTCTTGAGCACAGCAGTACTCTCTGCATCTGTGATTTCCAAAAACCACTTTTCAGAGACATACAGATTCCAATGGTGGATAGAATGTGGGTGGCGCTGTGGTCTAAACCACTGAGCCTCTTGGGCTTGCCAATCAGAAGGGCGGCAGTTTGAATCCCTGTGATGGGGTGAGCTCCCGTTGCTCTGTCCCAGCTTCTGCCAACCTAGCAATTCAAAAGCACACCAGTGCAAGTAGATACATAGATAGCACTGCAGAGGGAAGTTAAACGGCGTTTCCGTGCACTCTAGTTTCCATCACGGTGTCCCGTTGTGCCAGAAACGGTTTAGTCATGCTGGCCACATGACCCAGAAAGCTGTTAGTGGACAAACGCCGGCTCCTGCGGCCTGAAAGCGAGACGAGCGCAACAACCCCATAGTCGCCTTTGACTGGACTTAACCCAGGCCCATCTTACCCATTGAGGCTAGTGGCACGGGGTGCCAAGTTCTGGAGGGCACCATGTGAGAGTCTGGGGAACACCGAATGAGCGCGCTGAGTGAGCGAGGGTGCATGCGCCACTCCCACTGAGCGTCGGCTCAGTTTTTTCCCCTTTAGCCTGCAGGAGCTGAATTCTGTGTGGCGCCAGAAGGCTAAAAGGGAAAAAACCAAGCCGACACTCAGTGGGAGTGGCACACGTGCCCTCACTTGCTCAGCGCAGGCCCACTCGCTCGGTGTGCTGCCTGCCGTGGCCACTGTGGCACGAAGTGGCCAGCTGAGCCAGGAGGTGCCGCATCCAGCCTCCGCCTCTTCCCCACTGGAGGAGCTGCCCTCCAGCTGCTGCCCGCCTCCTCCAGCCCTAAAAAAAGGTCAACTCTGGGAAAGGGGGGGCACCAGAGGGATCTTTGCATCACGGTGTCGGATATGCTTAAGACGGCCCTGACTTAACCATCCAGGGGTCGTTTACCTTTACTTTATCTAGAACATGGGGATGCGGGTGGTGCTGTGGGTTAAACCACAGAGCCTAGGACTTGCAGATCAGAAGGTCGGCGGTTCGAATCCTTGCGACAGGGTGAGCTCCCGTTGCTCGGTCCCTGCTCCTGTCCATCTAGCAGTTCGAAAGCACATCAAAGTGCAAGTAGATAAATAGGTACCGCTCCGGCGGGAAGGGAAACGGCATTTCCGTGCGCTGTTCTGGTTCACCAGAAGCGGCTTAGTCATGCTGGGCACATGACCCGGAAGCTGTACGCCGGCTCCCTCAGCCAATAAAGCGAGATGAGCACCACAACCCCAGAGTCGGTCACGACTGGACCTAATGGTCAGGGGTCCCTTTACCTTTACCTTACCTAGAACATAAACACCATAGCCAGTAGCCATTGACACTATGCTGCAGATTAAATTTAGTGATGATCCCTGGATCTGGAAAAGTTTGGAGGATTACTTGCTACGTACTTTTTGATACTTAGGAGTTCAGTGATTTTTTTTCTTCAGAGATCCCTATATATCATGCAAGCATGAGATGAAGAGCCCTGCTGTAGCAGTCCAAAGGTCCGCCCAATCTCTATTTGCATTTTTGGCAGTCTTCTCAGGAACATAACTAAAATGTAGAGGAGGTGACATAAATGAGCCAGGACGAACAGCAGACAGGAGCTAGGATGAAGAATGGCTCTGCTTATCTGCCAGTTCCCTCTGCAATATTTTATGTCAGCCCAAGAATCGGGACTGTGGTGATCCTGGATGGAATATTGGATCTCGGTCCTATTGGAATACCAAATGATACCATGCAGTGAGAGCTGCAAAGTTTCAGCTCCTTGTAGAGTGAGTATAGATAGGGGGAAGATGGAGCTCCAGCTCTGTCAATTGATAGGTTTATCATTTGGCCAATGACCAGCAAATGGTGATAAACAGAGAAGCCATTTCTCCTTTCTGCCTTGGGCGATTTGCTTCTCCAGGAAAGAAAAAACTCAACATTGCTTTCCATAGATGTTATATCAGAGGTCACCAACCTTTTTGAGCCTGTGGGCATGTTTGAAAGTTGAGAAACTATTGCAGATACCATGCACACACCATGGTCAAGTATACACCACAGCCTATGATACTGGCAACCGTTTCTTTTAAGCCTGATTGAAGGGGAAGGGGACCCCATGAGATGTTACAACTAGGGTTGCATATCTATACCCATTTTCCTGAGAGTAAGCCCAACTGATTTCTGATTTCTGATTTCTACAGGACATGGTTCCATGGAGATCTGCATAGGATGGTGCTAAAAGTAACGACTTAGCTTGATTGCATATATATATATACACAAATCTGTACCTTTATATCTAAATGTGATTGGCAAAATAGAGTAAGTTCATGGTGGTCATTTTGGTAACCCGCCAAATAGATGGCTCTCCTACTGGTGCTAAGTCCTATCAAGTTGATGGGCCTAGGAAACTTGCAGGGGGAAATATCAGTCCAAGGTTGTGTCTAGGGATACGGGATAGATTTGATTCAGTTCACATTTAAAGGTTAAAAACTACTCAATGCACACTTTCTGAAACAATCTAAGAACTGAAACACAGTGATCCTTCAAAAATTCTCTGAATTTTGAGGTGCAATTCTCTAGCCAAGTAAAATGTACAAAAATGCAAAGGAGAAACTGTGCCTAAAATGCATATATTAGTTAAAATAACACAAAAAAATTTACTTTTAAGGAAAACTGGCTTGCAAAACATGTATATTAGGGGAAACTGCGTACAAAAATTTGCATATTTGCACTAAAATGCTGATGAATTTTCATGATGACTTTTCTTTTTAAAATCACAAACTGATGTGGAAACTTGGAGAATGGAATTTGTCCAATTCTCTCTTAAAGCGACCCAGGTTGGCAGCTATCACTTCCTCCTGTGAAGGCAACATAATTTAACTATGCACTGAGTGAAGAAGTCATTTCTTTTTATCTTCCTCGAATCTTCCAACATTCAGCTTCATTGAATGTCTGTGAGCTCTAGTGTAATGAGAGAGGGAGGAAAACTTTTCTTTGGCCAATTGGTCTGACATGTGTTTTGTGGATGGGGTGAAGAAGAGGCTGGGACAGAAACTGTGGCACAAGGATGGATACATGCAAATGGCAGAATGGTTATTTAAACCCGGGTCTCCTCTCCCTTCAGTCTCTATGAATTTCTGGCTCCTGCTCACCATTCTTCTGATACTGTATATTGGTCATTTTAGGGCCAAGTAGGAATTTTTGACCTGCCTGTGCCACTTACTCCATGAACAGATTTTTCACCTACTCAGTACAGTAGTCCTGGTGCAGGCATGTCCACAGGCCGTTTTAGGGGCCTAATCCGGCCTGCCGGTCAATTTAATTTGCCCCCGTGGCAGTATATGTCATGGAGTATGTTATGTACTGAGCCAGCATCCTCGGAACATGAGCCAGAATCCAAACCCCTGACCAGGGAACACCCCAGGCCGCAACGCACATGTAGGTGGCCGGCGTACCTAGAGGACTATGAATGTAACCTCCCGGGCAGGACTGGAACTTAGAGGGGAGGGGTGTTATGTACTGAGTTGAATAGGATCCAAAATGCAGCAGTCTGATTGGTCCTAGAACAATAGGATCCAGAATGCAGCAGTCTGATTGGTCCGCAGGAGCCACCCAATCAAGCTTCAGGTAGAAGTGAATCCACAACCTGATTGGCCTACAGTGTTGGAAAACAAGCCTTTCCCGGGAGAAGCTGGCAACTCTCCCAGGCTCCCGGCTTGGTCTCCAGCGACCTCCCTGGCTGCAATCCCCGCAGGTTCCAGGCTAGGTCTCGATAGGCGACGCTTCCCAGCGTGGGAAGTGCACACCCACTCCCTCCTGCTTCCCTAGCAGGGAAAGGAGATAGCCAGAAACGTCTATTTACATCCTTTATTTCTGACTTTGCAGCACTACAGAAAACATGTCCGATCACTTCAAACTTCAGCAAACAAGTGAGAAAGACTTCCTGTACATACGCAAGAGGAAGGTCTCATATTACACACTGAGCAAATTCTGGTGAACTGCCCAGTGAACTGACTGTAACATTGTTTCCCACAGTCAGCCCCATCATGTGATGTAAACAAGCTGGCTGTCTGCAGCTGCGATGATCTCATATTGTAACATACAGGAGCATCCCAGAATTAGCCAATCACGTGGGGCCCATTGTGTAAATAATGTATATAAAGAAGACACTTTGGGGGAACTTGCATTCCTCACTACTATGAGCTGAATAAAGAGCATGAAATCTTGACTCCAAGATTGAGTCTTGACTCCGAGTATATTTCTGGGTAAAATCCTAAAAGAAGTTCAATCCTTAAAAAAGCTTAACAACTTAGGTTGACCCTCACGCATATTCACTTCATCAAATCCGGCCCTCTTTGAAAAAAATTTGGGCACCCCTGCCCTGGTGCAAAGAGGGGCAGTTGGTGTCAACTGACCACATTTGCAGAAAGGTTAACAGGTAGGGGATGAATTTAGGGCCATCATCCTTAGGCACCTTTGAGGGTAATAGACACATTTTGAGGCTTGCCACTCAGGGCTGTGAGGCTGTGGCCAGGAGTGTCTCTGGGGCTGGAGTTGTGGGGTACTTCTCTGCTCACCTGAAAGGGCTGGAACGTAGGGAGAAAGGGAGATTATATTTGCAAATTAATGAAATGTAGACCTAGTACTACCCATTTACATGCATCTTGCCCCTATTGTTTTTCACCTCTCTCCCTGAATATGATTCTGTGGTCTTTCTACAAGAAGCAGGCATTGCCTCCAGGCTGGTTCAGATCAAGGTGTGTAGCTTCTTAAGCAAAAACCTTGCCATTTCCACCTTCTCTGCAATGGGAATTCTGATGAAGGAATACAAACCCTGCCATAATATCTACAAAGGAACTTAGTTCTCAGGGCTGCTTTTGTATCCACACCTAGTTTCCAAGAGGGGCTTCTTGTAGGTGCAGCAGGACAACCTTGAAACATGGCTATCCATGAAAGATTTGTCAGATCATTAGATCTTTAGTGGCAGATTTGCTGTTTAGCTTGGTTGCTGAGGCAACTGCATTTTCTATTTTTGTGCAGGTATTAGAACTAGCAGCAGCAGCAGCAACAATGTGGAACTACTTGCTACCTTCCTTTGCAGGCTACTGATTCATACTGTTTGACCTTTCATGTTTCTTCAATGCAGATGCAGAACTTCCTCGGCACATAAGCATTCTGCAGATTCATCCCTGAAGATTTCCAATGTGTTTTGTTGTAAGGATTCGAAAAGCCAGGGATGACATTGTGTTATATAACATAAACACATAGGACTTACACAAATGCAGACAAACACCCACACCGCACAGAGATGCAATGAGACAGCTTAATATTCGCCTGGGTTCTTTTGCAGGAAATGCAGCATTATTGCACAACCGAAGGAGCAGGAGGATAATCTAGCTGAAAGGATTTTAGGGAACACAGATTTTGTGGCTGCTGAAAACTGTCACAAAGGAGGCATGCAAGCAGGCTGTTAGAAAGAGGAGCAAAATCACGTTCCGTGGGCAAACACTGCTGGCTTCATAGGTGCCAACTCCATGGGGCCCTGGGTGCCCAAGCACCCACACAATTCCCCATGAAAGGGCTGTTGTTGTTGTTGTTTAGTCGTTTAGTCGTGTCCAACTCTTCGTGACCCCATGGACCAGAGCACGCCAGGCACTCCTG